GATTCGTTGTCTGAATCATTATCGGTCTGTCGCTCCGAAATGCTTTGCTCGGCCATCAACGGCACGATGGTTGAACTCAGAGACGCGAGCACTTGCAAGTAATTCGTCAGTGCGTCCTCAGGTTTGCACCATGCTACGAAAAAAAGTCAAGTTTTTATTAATTGTAACGTTAATTTATCAAAAATATAAATTTAGTAAAAATATAATAAATTAAATTAAATTGCAATATTTTGTCAGCATTACGCACAGGGAAAAAGGTTTCTTTGGATTTAGTATTTCTTATTTATTTGACTAAAATTTGTTTCATTGAAACAACACATGCTTGTACGAAATATTATGTGTTTGAATAAAAATTTTGTTGTTTCATTCAAGGAACCTCTATTGACAGAAATAACATTATTATTTGAAATAATATCTTTTAATTAAATAATATATTATTTAGTTATAATGAAACAAATTATTTATTTGAAAATGGCAAAATATATTGATAGAGGTTAGGTTGTTCCATGCAAATAATTGTTTTCTTAGAATAATCATTACATTTTTTGGCCGGAAATATAGAAATGGCTTATACGTCTAACAACAGGATTAAATGAACAGTGCTATATCAATTATGTTTGTGCCATACAGTTGATCACGCAAATACTGAAGATAGACATTATCTGTTCAAACAAATAATGTATTTAAGACAAAAATATACATTGTTTCAAATTAAAATAATCGCATTTATTGATTTAAACATTGGTTTGTTTGGACCATTCCAAATAACAAATTTATTTGCTTACAATAAAATTTATTAAGTCCAAAGAAATTTTTTTCTCTGAGTGGAATATGAAAAATATTACTCATAAAAAATATGAACATAAATATAATTAATATGAACAAGAACATTAAAAAATATATGAATAATTCGAGAAAATGTTATCGAGAAAACTGAATAATATTTTATCTGTGGTAGAATTAAAGCTAATAATGTTAATAGAGCTTTTTGTTTATACTTACAAAACTGATTAGATGAATCCAATGACAATACACAATAAAGCAGGTTTATTGTAGGTACCAATCGGAGTCGATTGATACAAATAATTAACTGGATATATGGAAAGTCTTTGAATTCTGTTAATGCAGGCACAACAAACATGCGAATAGGATCGGACAGTCTGGGCGAGAATACGCTTCTGCACAGTTCCCGCAGCACGAGCGTGGAGAAGTTCTCTCTGTGATTCACGTAAGAAATCAAGTCGACAGGTCGTTTGATCATATCCAGTAAACACTTGGAGATCGGCGTAGGCGCGACCGACGTCACCTCCGCCATCGGTGGTACCTTCTCATCCAGCAGCTTCCTCAACTGCTCGAAGTAATTATGTTGGATCAGGTAGACAAATATACTTTCTAGATGCCGATAAGTGTGTTTAGATGCCGATAACGGTAGCACCTTCTCCGTGTCTTCTCGCGTTGTGAATACCTCCAGAACTCGTAACGGTATCGCCAAGGAGTATGCTCCATCTGGCAGCGTTTCCGTGTTGTATCGCATACACATGTGAAGAATCCATCTATATCGAATAATATTTAAAATAAATACCATATACATAAACATTTCATAGAAGGCCTCTATTTTATAACTCTTAATAGTGTCGTTAAAAATTACAAAACAGAGATATAAAGCATCATTTGATTAGTATAATTGTTTTTGTAGAAAATGGTATTCTCTAAATAGAGAAGAAGATATTATGGCGGCATAGTCGAGCTGCTGATCAAATAATTCTATAAATAATCGCTAGAATTCTATCCTATCTAATAGCGGAGATATTAAGAGCGGCCATTATATTTATATTGATCATAAAATTATCTTTTTTTCCATATATTATAATATTTATATTAATAGTTTACCGTAATCTCCACAGCCATTGCGACGAACTTATTGACTTCAATTTAATTTCTCTCTGGTGCTTTAAAAAGTGCTGAAGAACCCATATCAGTCTGTTAGCGTCTAAGATATGATTATAAAAGAATAACAACTTTCGTAGATACGGCACTAATTCTTCTAGGCTTAGATTTCTGCGTCCAGCTGCTTGTTGCGCTTCATCAAACTCCTTCCTCTTCTGCGCGCACATCAGCCTCCTGGTGACGAAGCTGCGTATGCGCGCCTGTATTTTCAGCGCCGCATCATGCTTCTTGCGCTGCTGCTCCCTCTTTAGCCTCTCTAACTGTGCGTGTTGCAGGAGAACGGCCCTCTCGTCTCGTCTGCTAGCACCTGATAAATTCTGCTGTGGCTTGCGCCTATAATCTCCCTCAAAGCTATACATGATTCATGATCAGTTGCCCGATATCTTGAATTTATCTCTGAAATATTAAATATATTATTAATATACTTAATAATAATTATATGTATAAGCAAATAAAATATGAAATGCAATAGCAATGTATAATTTTTTCTCGCATAAAATAATTTACATATCTAAAACAAAAATTATAATTTTGTAAAAATGTATCGATCGTGCTTGTATTATAATGTCATATTGATTTATCGAATAAATTATGTATTTTTTTTCTAAATGATAATTTTGCCTCTTTCTGTGTAAAAGAATTATTGCTATCACATTAAATATTTTTTAACACAATAAAAATGTCAATACAATTCAACTTATTTTGATACTTGACTATATACAGTTGACTTTGATAACTCAAGTCTCTATAATAATGACAAATTACATTTTATTTCTAAATTTTACCTAGTTTTTACAATAAATAATTATCACTGGATTATGCACCTCACTCCATTTGATAACAGTTTACTATATTTTTACTAGTACAATTTTGTAATTAACTTGATACGTGTAATTACTATTTTCAGAAGACTTCAAAACGTAGAGTCAAAACATTTACATTTTTGTTATTTATATATGTAAATAAATAAATTTTATATAACACTCAACATCTATCCAGTCTTGTATTGGCATTTTTATTGTGTTCCATTTAATTCCTTACAGTCAAAAACATTTTAATTTGATAAGAAGTTAGTTATTGTTTAAGCTTTAATATATACGAGTGAACTGTTCTCGATATTTTAATGATTAAATGCAGAGTTGGTTAACTTTTTTTAAAACTGAGCTAAGTTACAGTTAATAACCTTGAAAATTTAACTTAGTTAAGATACAAGTTGATTATAATGAAATTAATTGAATTAAAAGTTAAGTTAATAAAAAAAAGTAATTGAAAAGTTAAAAGTTAAATTTGTTTTTATATATTTTTTTAATTCATAATTTCAGGATTTTGTATTTGTATTCTTACAAATAACGGAAATGACAAATATATACTTCGTTTAGAAAATAATCTATATTTTATTTACATGTTTTATTTACTGTTTAATAAGATAGATTTATATAAGATTCGACTATGAATGCTGGCCTGCGATATGACTAAAGCTTCAGACACAATACGAGGGAGATGCGATAATAATAGATTTCAACCTATCAGAAACTAGATACATCAAAATACACGGTTTCTGACAGATTGAAATAGGGGTCGATAATTTGTGTAAATGAAATGAAAATTACAAAAGTGAGCAAATTCACTAGAATATTTATAATTTTATTGGTCAACACCTAGTAAATTTGCTTTCTTTTGCAATTTTCACTTCATTTTAAGTTATCGCTATTACCACACATTATGTCTGAGACTTAACTTCAAAGAATTAAATAAAAAATTAATAGTTACTAAATAAAGTAACTCAAAAATAAAGTAACTAAATAAAGTTAAAAAGTTAAGAGTCTAAAATGTAATTAAATTAAGTTAAAATTAATTATTTAACTTTTTAACTTAACTTTTATCTTTTTAACTTAGCACTATCCAACCCTGATTAAATGTTTTGCTTATTATTAGGTGTTGGAATTAATTCGTAGCGTTTTTAATGAAAGAATGTTATTTATTTCACATGAGCATTAAAAAATACATTAATGAAAGTACTTCCCATCACTTGTAAAACGCTACGAATTAATTCCAACACCTAATATATTAATACAAAATATATCTAACGTTATATATAATTATCTAACATTATATATAATTATTATTCTGTTAAATATACTATAAAAATTTAAAGGTCCATAATAAAATTTATGCATCCTGCTTAACCCTTATGTTACCACCCGGGTACCCGGGTACCCATCGGCGTGCATTATGTTAAATAAATTGTTTCCTGAAGACGTACGCTAAAATCCTCTCGGATCCCCACGATTTGACTAATTTTCTATCAAATCATGCATTAAAAAAATTTTGTTTTTTTTTTCTTCATAAAAAATTTATAATTTGAAAAAAAGTACATGTATGTACCACCCGGGTACCCGGGTACCCCTTATATAAAAATAGTGAAATATACGTATTACGATTTAAAAAAATTGAGGAAATACAATACAATAATTTTTAATAAATAAATTACATAAAATATTATTAATTTTTGATAATTTATTAAACAAATTAAATGAAAATGAACGTTTTTATTACATTTCAAAAGTTATTCACTACATTCCAAACATTTCGTAATTTTTGCTATGTGCTCATCGCAAACTGGCTTTTGGCATGAAACGCAGCTCTTTCTTGTCTTTCGCCGTTTCCTAATTGGTTGTTTGTTACAAATATGGCATGCTCCAACTACTACTTTTCTACCAGTCGTATCACGTGGCTGATTGTCAGCAACGACTTCCGCTGCAACTGTAGGACGGTCAATGTAGCTTTCAACTGCCAATTTTGTAGCTGGGTTTCGTACAATTTTATATTTTGACCACATTTGATCCATTCTATCCACTCCAGCTTTTGTTTTATTGTAAAACAATATCATATCTGGCTTTTGATGAAGTGTATCTGAAATTACAGCATTGGCATGCATCGTGCTGAGTAGAATTACGGCTTTGTTTTTTTTCGGCACATATGAACACATAGTTACTTTTTTATGAAAGCCGAAGATAGTTGAAAGTATTGCTCTTGATTTTGATGCCTCGAGAATATTGAAAAAGAAAGCTAGCGGCCATCTGGATGTGGCTCTCTTTCGGGATGTTTACCGTTATATTCTTGATAGAAAGCTTCTGCCTTTTTGTTAGTGCAACGTACAATAATATCTACCATTTCCATAGTCATAATTTTTTTGAAAGTATCAGAAATCGATAACATCTCTGTGATTCTGTGTGGTCCAGCTCTTTGTCGAATAATATTTCTTGAAGGTGTTTGATGAAGGTTCGGTGCATTTTTGAGCCAAATTGTGTTGTCTTTAGCAATAAAAGATGTATTATTACTTCCTAAAACAGATAAAAATGTCAAGTATAAATAAAATATGAATAAATATAATAGAAATATATGTGCAGCTATAAAAATATAGTTCTTACTTTGCGATGTTGCAGCAGCCTCGTCTTCATTTTCTTCTTCAGATTCGCTTTCACGTTCATTTTCTTCTTCTGCAGCTTCTTCATTTACAGACTCCTCATCACTACCGACATCTTCCTGAAACTCAGCCTCGTAATCACTCTCTTGCTCATTATCAGATACCTCAAGATCAAGATTATCTGCAGGAAGCCATTCGTCGTCTTCACTGTCAGATGATACTAAACTTTCATTTTCTTCATCACCTAATAATACTTTCAAGTATTCTCTTTTTTCAGCTTCACTCAATCTAAACAGATAAATAAATTTATGTAAACTAAAAAAATTATACTTGAAGCAGTCCTGCAATCAATGAAAATATACAAAAAATATATTTATTTTACTTATTGTTTTACATACCTTAGAAATTGTGCTCTTGACAGTTCTTCATTATTTTATACACAAAATCTAATTTTAAAGTAAAAAAAATATAGGTAAATATTTTTAATAAAAATGTTTATATTTCAGAGTATATGAATCAATAATCAGCGATCTTGAAAATATTTGTGAAAATACTACGCGTCGTTTCACTGCTCTAAGCGATACGTGTTACTGCTCCGAAACGAGAAAGACTGACGCTATTAGCTTAGTTCGCCAGGTACAAACAACTATCCCCTCTCAATTCTTTAAATACCTTTTCAATTTAACATACCTGGCCTTGTCGAAACAAGGGTCAGATAGTGCGGCTGCCTAAATCTTATACCTGCAGAGGATTATAAAGGTTACTGTATACGAATTTATTATTGTACTTTGCTCGAAATATCTCTATGAAATATTAATAAATCAATATTCATCCAATACATAAATTTATTTTCAAGTTTACGACAGTTTTACCTCAAAATTTCTGCATGGGTACCCGGGTACCCGGGTGGTCATTAGTGTGGCATTTTTTGGGTGGTAACATAAGGGTTAATCATGCTTGGCAAGACTTAAAACTTACCTTCAGCGCAAATTAAAAGTAACACTCGTAACAATTACAGAGATAACTGAACCATGTTCATTCTCTTGAAAGAAATTGACGGGACATTTTCTGTAATTAAGATTCTCATGTTCCCCCTCTTCAGTGTAAAGTCCTTTCAGAGCACGTATGAAAGTCTCGTCAATTTTCAAAACGGTTTGGTGTTCGAACAGAAAGGTTAAACACAATCGAAGATTCTTGACGCAACGTTCTCGACCTAATGAATGCCGCGACGACGGATCCGCGATATTCTATGACACTCTGTCGATCCTTCACGGTCCATCGCCGGGCAGAGACAATGACTCGCGACGGGAAGTAAGGAATGTGTGTATGGCACCTATTCCTACACGTCTAGTCATCGAAGCTCGCCATGTTTCGGCCCTTCGGCGAGATCCACATTTGTCAATGCTATCTGCTCGATTCTGAAGTCCGAAGTCCAATCACTCCAATCTTTTGTTCCCCGTACACCAGCGCACCAATGTCCATTTTAGTGATCTGGAAACTAAGTTCCACATTTATTTTACGAAACTGTCGATAAAATCGTAACAAGAGTTCTAAGGCCATATCCACTCCATTTCTTAAATGAGTACGTGTCAAATAAAAATGTATATAAATGTTTATGGAAAACTCTAAAAATACAGTTGTATTCTTATTTACTGTATTTCATCGTCATGCAACATCATAATTTATTTATTATAAGTTTCATCGTTTTCCGAAAGACGTTAATGTTAAAATGTTGAAAAACTTGCGGAAAAAAATGTCAATGCAGGCTAGCCGCTTTGTTAACTTGAACGCGTCCAATGTTAAAAATGGTATGTATATAATTAATCTCTTGGCGATACAGTAACTTGGCAATAAGTTACACGTCATAATATACAATATATCAAAATTTGTATATTGTTTACGCTCAAATTGACAAAACGCTTATCTGCACGCCGAGCAAATGAGCATAATTAGTTGTTACTTATAAATCCAACCAATCATATTCAATTACTCGGTAAGCCATGCCTAGCCGCTTTGCCGTCTTGAACTCAACAAAATTCTCAAATATACGATTGATTTATATAGAGCAAAACCAATCATATTAAAGAACTTAACAACAATTGCAAAGCTATTTTTTTCTACTAAACGCAGCCAATGAATATGATTGGTTAAGTTACTTATAAATCCAACCAATCACATTCACTCACTCGGCGAGCAGGCTAGCAGTTTTGTCCAACTTGAACGCGGCCATTGTGATAAAAACTGATAAAAGCGCCTGCCGGTAGGAGCTAAGGGGAGGTAGACGCGTTGCGCAGCGCGCATGTGCGAGTGGGAAAGCCGGTCTGTGGATCGCGACATCGCGCCGGACGCGGACGGATCCGAAGGACGCCGGGGATCGCGAATGGCCGGCGCGTCGCGCCGGGCGAGGATGCGGGAAGATGGCGGCGGCGGTGGAGTCGTGCGAGGTGAAGTGCGCCGACGTTCCGCGCGACGTTGAGAATGCGACGGCGGATCGAGCGGATGAGCCGCGCGTGGCGACGCCGCGCCGGCAGGCTGAGCTTTACCGATTTCGCGTCGCCGACCTGCTGTACTACGCGTCCTCGGTCGCTTTCTTTCTCGCGGACGTAGCAACAGGTGAACAAAGAGTGGCCACATACATATATACACATACACACCATACACACACACACGTGCACGTGGCACACGCGTGTGCGTGCGACACGGGGTGTCCTGCGATTCTCGTAATTTCGATCTGAGTTGACAGGTCCTTTCGAGACACAGTCGAATACTCTGAAGTTGCGGTCGAGCCGAACGGAGCGAACTTCAGTTCGATTGCAAAATTTGTATTCTTTCATTATTTTCGATTCTATTAAGCAAACAATTTTTAATTTTAAAAGTTTAACAAGTAAAAATACCTATTAGAGCCTCCGCGGTTTTTGGTGCGTAAATTATGTATTTATAAATTGATAAAATACAATAATTCTTTGAGGCGCAATCGAACGCCCTGAAGTTGCGGCCGAATGGAACGGAGCGAACTTCAGTTCACAAAATTCGATTTACAAAATTCGTATTCTTCGATTATTATCGAGTCTACTTCGATGAATTTGAAATTTTGATACGAATAAAGTATCTATTGGAGCCTCGGCAGTTGTTGGTGCGTAAATTGTGTATTCATAACTTAATTATCAATCAATTGGGATATACTTATCAAACAAAGGTAAAGTAAACGCAGAATTTAAATTTTAGTTAGAGCTTCCATTTTTTGAAAATATATAATGTTGATGATTGTAAAAAATCGCGCTGAATAAGAAATTATATCGATATTTCACGGTAAGTTAATTCGTGAAATCTGACACTAAAATTTGAGATCGCGGGACATCCTGTATGCTTACGTCAGCTTTGTTTATGTCAATGACGCTGGTAAAAAGTATCGCGATTGCAAAATTTTAACTTTTCGAAAGAATATTGTACCACAATCTTTTTTTCTTAAAGTTTCATATATATCGGGATTACATTAATGGAAATAAAATCTTAAAAAAATAAAAATCTTAAAATCTTAAATACTAAAACATAGTGTTATAGTTTTTTAATTATATTTTTAATCTTATATCATTAATGTATATTATTTTATACGTTTGCATTTTTAATGCTAAAATAACAAGAAGAAATGAGAACTTATACATTTTAGACTTAAAGTTATAATTAACACAATAAATAATTCTAACAATTATTTTATATTTGTATATAATTGATATTAATTATAACTTTATTATTTATATTTTACAATTATAATTATAGTTAACATTATAAATAATTATGACAGAAATCACGATACTTTTTACTAACGTCTTTCAATGTGCTTTTTGTGCTAAAATCGTCTAAGGCTAATTCTACAATGTGCTTTTTATTTTCTGTTTTTTGCTGTTTGTCTCTTGTTTTATTGACCAAAAAGGCAAGAGACAAATAGAGACAAACAGCAAGAAACAGGAAATAAAGAGCACATTGTAGAATTAGCCTTAATGTCACATACGTGGTAAAACTTGTTTTTGCACACTTGCTCAAAGCATGCGCGGGAAAGCTTCTGTCTTCGTAAACCGAACACCTTGTAAGATATTTTTCGCACACACAGACAGCATTGTATGTGTGGAATACCTTTTGCAAGGCCACTTAGCGTGGGGATGCTTTGCAATGGGTTTCACCGTCTTACCCGCTTGTGTTACCCAACTATTTAGTTTGAGATGGCATCGCAGCGACGGTTCCCTACGGACTGTTCACTGGTTGCTGCACATCTTCCTACTTGGCTTTTTGCACAGGTACTTTATGTTTATTTTTGCACAGTTTTTCCCAGAAATTCCGGCGATTCATTGTCCGTAAATTAATGTGTACGAACACAACATATATTCTCTACTAATAATGAATTATTCATCAATTTATATTTATTTTCAGGTACTTGACCTTGCTTTGCACTGCGATGCATTCTTTGAGAAATAAGTCCGGTTTCGGCAAGGACAAGAATTGGGTGTATCGACAAGAAAGCGATATATGTATGTTGCACTTATTTAAGTCGTTTATGGGGGCTGCTCCACAGTTGATATTGCAGCTATATATTATTGCGATGTTGAAACACGCATCGTTTTGGACGAGTAAGTGTTCTTTTTAGTTGTAAATTATCTTATTTTATACTGTATATAATACAATACAATGATGTGTGTATGTGTGTTTAAATGTAAATATTAATATAGGAGAGATCAGAGCTCGTTGAAATAGTTTTTCACAGTTTCGGCATTAGACTTTCTAAACAAATAATAATAATGATTTAAAAAACATACTAAAATAATAGGGAGAATCTTTCTTTATCTTTTTATATCAGGAACAACACAAACGTTGCAACAACACTACTGCGACATTGCATCACATTGCAACAATATTGCAGAGATTTTGTAGCGATATTCCTGCAAATTCTGTATTATATGTGAAGGAAAAAGCTGAAGAACATAATACAAACTAAAACGCTTAAAAAATCTGCTTGCCTCGTCTTGAATCAGATTTCTTTTTGTTTTTTGGCAATATTTGTTTGATTTAAATAAAACTTAGGAAGAATATCTATGTTATAAAAGCGATATTTTGCAATAACTTTTTCATTATTTTTTTCACATTAAATAAATGGAATGCGATACTTGCCAATAAGTCCTGGTTTTTCTTTGTTAAATCCCACTATTATTACAAGGGATTTAAAATCTAAGAGAAACAAAAACACATTTTTTAAAATGACATTTATTCAACATACATTTTAACAAATAAAGTATTTTCTTTAAGAATCTGAAAAAATGAAAAAAATTTAAAAAGTTCTTACATTATATCACATTTAAAATGTTCGTAAAGTTTTATTATCTCTTCGTCTGTCAGTATAAAAACGTCATATAAAAATCGAGTTATCAACAGAGACACCAATAATATTAAACAGACGAATAGTTGAACAATTTATAATCGTTCTCATAAATTTTGTAAACCTCATTGAGAAGTGATCGCGGTATCCCCTTGATGTATTCATCTAATGTTTTCCTGGTAGTCGTGCCCAGTGGATTAATATTTCGCGGGTAATTTGTCTCATATAGGTATCCATTCAGATTCGCATCCTGTATGAAAAAGTTCTGATCCCTGTCCAGGGTTTCGAACTTGATAATGTAGTCGTAATTAATTATGCAGGGTTCACAGGTGCGATAATATGGCACCCAGTGCTCGTCAAAGTACTTTTCACTGATTATAAATTGTAAAAATTCACTAAATGTTGGTTCTAATTTCGTCGTGTTACTGGATTCACGATATTTGAGTACAATGCGCCGGCCGAAGCGTTTATAATAATATTCGCGATTCTGCCTATGTTCCAATTTGTCTCTGTATGCAGATAAGAGACGTTCCAGTGGATGTCGCACAATGAGGAACTTCTTCGTTTTGCTCATTTTCTAAAAATCATTCAAAAAAAGTTTGCAATTTAACTTGTGTCACTCTTTATTTAAAAATTCTTTAGAATAAGATTTGATTCTTTTATCTAAAAAACTATTATTTTGTGTCTAATAATTAACTCTTTTGTTAGGAATACTTTAAAAAATTATTTTATAAGATTTTCTTTTATTGTTATGTAGAATTTTTGCTATCTATAAATTTTTTATCTAAGATTTTTTTTTTATTGCTATCTACAGATTAGACATGATTAGTCAGTCATGGATTTGGGAATTACAAAGTACAATTTGTACCTCGTAAGTCTTATTAAAATCCGCATCCTGTGCCTCACGATATCGCTGACCTGCGTAAGATTGCGACGCACTAAGTCTATAGTAGCGTCCGTCAAAGTGCCTTTTAGAACAGCGAAGTAATTCATCCACGTGGAACTCGCCGCCTTGTATATCGGACACCACGATACGTTGTGTTCCCTTCAAATTATTTTGAATCAAAATTTGTAGAAAAAATTATTGCATTTTTTAATATCGTTAAACTTTCTTGCAATTTGAACGCAAAAATTTGATAAAAATATTTTAATCCTTTCACATTAAATTTCTGCATTACGCTAAAAGATTAAGAAATCACCTATTTTGCTCTCCAAAAATAGACAATTTTCAAAACAGTGTAACTTTATCAAAAATTGTTATTTTAAAGCCTTTACTTTTCGGGATAATATTAAAATCATTGTCTAAAGTGTCATTCTGAAAAAAAATAGAGACTTCAAGCTTCAAAATGTTTTTTTTAATCATTTTATTATGATAATTTTTGACGAAATTACACTCTCTGAAAATTCCCTATTTTTAAAAGGCAGAATAAATAATTCTTTAATTTTTTGATGTAATATATATTTTATATCTAATGATCATTAGATGTATAATTTTTAAGGAACTTTTTAGCATCTCCCTCGCTTACGTATCGATGATGATATTCGTCAGCATAGCGTCTGTGTGTGATTTCTTCGTGTTGATTGTTTCACATATTCGTGCCACCCACCATCTTCTCCTGTCCAATTCACGCCTAACATCCTCCATCTGGTTTCGTGACATCGGAGCTCGCGGCATTATTCCAGGCGTGACGGCGCGTGCAATAGATGCATATTTCGGCGATGCATACCTCAGCGATGCGACCGGCTCTATGTTTGTCTCCTCCATATGCGCTAAGTTCACTAGTATCAACAATGTCATAATCGTCGCTAATATCGCGACTGACTCTATCACCGTGACTTGTTTCTACGAATAAAGAATTATTTTGTTTTCTCCGTGAAGAATTGTAAAAAGAAAAGCGCGGAAAAATCATACGAGGATTTGGCTCAGAGAGAAAGACATGGTTGATCTGAGACATCTTGTGGTTCGTATTCATACTTCGCTTTTATCAATAAATGCGCGATTTATTTTGTAGATTCTCTACTATGTAAACATGGAAAGAACAATTTTATTGGATGATCAAAAACTGTGTTGGATATAAAATTGAAAATAATATTGAAAAAAAGTTTTTGCAGTATACTTATCATTTTTTAATTTCTAACATCATTATTTTGATGGTCCAACAATTATTTTAAATCTATATCCAGTAATATTTTAGATCTTTCAACAAATCGTTCTTTTCGTGTATATTAAATGCGCGCAATTATCGATAAAAATGAGATATGAATCTTCGTGTTCCTACCTGTATCGATGAAAGGAGTTTTTTTGAATAGTAATAAAAGCCGGTTTTCAGTTCCGGATAAACCGTCGAATTTTTATTTTCATTCGACGTTATTATTTTGTGCGTTAGTATTTTATACGATGTGTGCATCGTGCCTTGTCACATATCTGATTCACTTGTGATAAAACACCATTTCAATGAATCGCTGAAGAACACTGCTGGAAATATTGTACCGCTGTACCATCGATGCTGTGCTCGAAAACCAACATTTGTGAATCCGTAACGAGTCACATATATTATTCTTTCGTTTCCTCTTTCATGACCCGCCTCCGCAGATAACAGGAAAAAGGAAGGAATATCACTCTGTTTATCTATTTACTCCTGAACAATGCATGAGCATAACGACAAATTCCACAAGACGAGAGACTCTCTCGTCCTCCTCCACAGTTTTAAATATAAAAGCGACTAAGAGTACGAAGCGTTGCGAAGCAATGTCGAAGCGTATTCAAAAATAGCTGAAAAGAAGGCAGTAGTCCATCACGGACAATAGCCACAAAAACATATAGTAGTGCTTTGATGTCTTTTATTTTATTTTTTTTATTACACTTCTCAATTATTTCCAAGTTTTGTTTAATGAATAATAATAATCACGATATTATTAAATATTTATCATTTTCAATGTTTTTTTTAGCATTATAGAATATATGTGTGTATGTGTGTGTGTGTGTGTGTGTGTGTGTGTGTGTGTGTGTGTAAATTATAATAATTAAGGTAATAAAAAATATATCTCTTAGTATATTTTTGTATTTAAATTAAAAAGTATATTTTTATAATAATTTGTATATTTACAAGTTTAACTCTTCGGGAAATTGTGGCTGAATCATTCTTGATCCGTACTGTCTATTAGATAATTAAAAAGTTACATTCATATAAATAGTACGTAAAACAGCAATAAAAAAGTAGCAATTTTTCAGTTTTTTTATATCTTTGCAATATAAAAAGGAAATAATTTTTAAAAATCAACAGTAATTTTTGAAAATCTAGGTCTCAAGTGATCCAGCCACCACCAGCCAAAAGTTAGTATTGTTATTAATGTAATTAAATTAACATAAGCAATTTTTGTACAGGTGCCTCCGCCGTGACTTCCTTCTGCTCCTTAACGTGGGCTGTGAGTACATACGTTAAGGCCATGCACAATATCAATCGCGAGCGCAGCAACGTGACTTGGGTCGCTCTTGCCCTTCAGGCTATCTGGCGTAGCAGTATGCTGATATCAAGATTCATAGTTTTGGTATTAGCGCTCATCTTCCTGAAAACATGGTTCTTTTTATTTTTGGGTGAGTTTTTACCGAGAAAGTTCTGTAATTAGAAATCCGTATTACATTCATATGAAATAATTTAATTGTTTACTAAGGCTCAGTTTCACAGCTCACGGTTAACGCTTAACTGATGTTCAACTTATTTCTTATCTCTTTCCAATTCTGGCATTAGAAAGTTAAGTTGTGAAACTGGGCCTAAGTCTATTTTAAACAAAGAAAGTCGATCTTTATAGAAGATTAAATGGATTGATTATAAGTTATAATACGCTGAGTCGATCGTCTAAATATCAGAACAACACGCTGTGACACTGTCTCCTATTTTCAAGTAATCGTCATTTTCCAGGTTTGCATTGGTTCATCATGACGATCTGGGTGATCTTGCAGAAGACAAAGTTCTGTTCTACCGCGTGGGAAGAGCGCATCTACAATTGTGTCATCGGACTAATCTATTGCTTCGACTTCTTTAATCTGCGCGACGACAGATCGCGCTACCGCGTGCTCATCTTTTACTCACTGATCGCAGCGCAGAATGTGGTCTTTCTGATCATATATATGTTACACATCGGGGAAACTATCGCGATGATTATGATTGCGTCCGTGACAGTCAGTTGTATGCTCATCGGTCTGACGAGCATGTCGCTATATTACGGCAAGTTTCATCCATCAAGAACAGCGACGAATATCTCCCGAAATATCAGCGAGCATTCTACAACTACGAAGGTTGACGCATCCAGATCCTTTAAGCTGTTTCATCGCGACTCTTTGGTATCGTTGCACCATTCCATGGACATCTCGCCGAGGACCGAGGAGGTGCCTACCGACAAGCAATCTTTGCTTACAAATATTGCGCAAATTTCCGATTGTGTAGAGGAAGGCATTGTCAATCGCAACTACAGCTCGGAGAACGAGTTCAACGCGAGCGCCTTGCGCCTCTCCACAGAATGCGAGAGGCCGCACAGTCGCGTCGGCGTCAAACACAAGGAAGAAATTACGTCGGTCAATGATAATCCGGACAACGCGCTTATTAGTAGCGCGCCATTGAACTCCCTGTATTCTGGCTTGCCTGATATTGACTCGTCTCGAAAACGCCGCGGCATTTACGAGCACGATATCACCCCACAATTGGACTGGCACGCGCCGGATATATTGAATATTGATCTGGGTCAGCTTGGTAGTCTCGATAACTCCGAGCGAACCAATTCTCTCACGCTAGATTCCTGCAGTAAAGTAATCGGCGCGTTGGACGTTATCAAGAACAGAGAAAAACTAACCACCCCGACGCCATTGGAGAGCAGCAGGATATTCGATATAGAGAAGGTGTCAAAGGACCTGCAGCAGGTCTAATATACAATATATTATTTGAAATCTCGGGGTCAAAAGTTTTGCATTATCCCTAATAATATAGAGAATACAAATAAATCATTATAGCTTGTTTATTATAGATTCTTTATTTTTTATTATTAATTATTTATTATGGTTATTATAAATTTTTTATTTTTTTCCTTCAAAGCATTTTTATCAAAACATAAAACAATACAAGTACTAATATAATAATTTCCTTGTTTCCATAAATAATGCAATACTTTTGATCATGTATCTTCTCGCTTTATTTGTTACATTGAACTCATTGTTTTTTACTTATTATTCTGTTATATTATGTTACTGTCTCTTCACGTACGTTATTTTTCCTACAGCAGCGGGACGAAACGATGAGTTGCGTGACGTCGATCCACGATTACGAAAATGTATGCCCGCTAGGAATCGCTAGACCTCCTTGGTGCATCCGCAGCTGGAAGGGCTACACAGATATCGAGACGTACATTCACGACGATAGCGTGGTGCGTGATAGGCGGCGAGATACCTTGACGAGCACGACCGGCACGACGTACAGCTCGGAATATTCCGACGGCATGATCTCACGAGGGATATTAAAGCAGGACGATTATGCGGACGCCCTTACTTACGATCTGGTAGAATCTAAGGGCAATAAATCATCTTATAGCGATAGCACATTCTCTACGTCTGTCGACGATCAAAACGCTAGTCTATATATAGCCAAGCCGGTGGTGTTCGATGACCGGGGCGGTATGCTCGCATTGGACACGATTTTGGAGGAACGCGATGATTTGTCATCGTCGGATGAGAAGTTTCAACATGGATCAGAGCTATCGCGTGACTCCGCGAGTACTCTGGTGAGTACGATAGATCAGATCAGGCGGTATACAGCGGAGAATTCGCCGCGACACATCTATCACACCACTGGGACTCATTGGGAAGATCTGAATCCCAAGAATTTGATGGCGCAGGCGCACTTTGCCAAAGTATTGTTCGACAATGATCTCAGGAACGCCTCAACGACGACTGGTTCGATCGATCTGACCGCGCGGGACGTCGAGAAACGCGAGATAGACGCGATCAGGGAATTCGTCCGATGCTGTGCTATAGAGTCCATCAAGAAAACGCCTCTGATAGACGCTGTCTTGTCTGATTCGCCGATTCTCGACAAGGCGAGCAAGCTTATGCGGCAGGTCACATTTGCGGATTGCAAGAATGATTTCGACACGAACGAGAGTGACCTTTACGTTGAAATGAGTCCCTTGGTATCCGTAGAAAACGGCGAAAATCTGTGCCAAGCTAGGCCCATCGACTCCAAGACCGTCGAGGTAGAGAGCGACACTGTCAAGAGAAATACTCTTCCCACAATATCGGAGAAATCGCCAAATAAAGAGAATGTGTCGCCGAGCTTGTCGAATAACAACAGGCGGATTAATAATATATACGATGACAGGGACAATAATGACAGTCACGCTTGGACTATAGAAAGAGATGAGAAAAATGACAAATCGCTGTGCAACATGCGTTTCAATCTGAAAGAGAAGAGGCATTTATTTCTGGAGCAGGTTCTCTCGCCGGTTCCAAAACTCTGGAACAAACGTATCTCCTTTCATCCGAGCACCAAAAATTTATAATAAACGCACTTCTTGATTTTCTCACTCGTGTTCTATAGTTGAAAATCGATTCGAAACTCATTTTTATCGTCTATTTTTATTATGTATTTACAGGGAATTTTATTACATATTATAGCAATTACAGAGAATTTGATCACGTTTTACAACTGAACGTGGAACAACTTTTATCGAATCACAAATTTATAACGAAAATATTTTTTATATTTGGCACTGTTGTCTTTCTTGAAGAAATGTATGGCAGCTCAATTTTATCTTGCTCAAATGTATTTTTATTCATTTATGATTTATAGGAATTCTTTATAGAAGTTTTAGGATTTTTTCTTGTTTATTAAAAATCTTAGGAAATTAATCTTAGTCATGATATTGGATACTTTTTACGAAAATGTTACATTTTTGCTGCACGATCCATTCGTGTCCGGTCACAAATAAATCAGGAGGACAATTTATGATGGAAAGGGATAAGAAAAACACACCACAGTACAAATATCGCAATATATATAACGTCACTCGTTAATTAGGCACACATCTTAATTTTTATCCATGATTTTAAGCTGCGCCGCGTTTACTTTTATAACTGACATAAAGTAAACGCGATGTAAGCGTGTGATACGCGCTGTCTGATTGTTACAAGACAAAGCTATAATGACTTAAGTCTAGTATTGCGCTTTTGCAATTAGTGTATATAAAAAAATGACTTATTTTACATCTCGTACCGAGATTATTTTTATACGTTATTTTTACTATGTACAATAAAGAGACTCTGTGTAATAAATGATTCGCAACCACGCATTTCTGGTAATAATATTGTTGCGATTATTATACATTATGATTATGTACATCGAAGAAACTATTTTGATTCACTTGAGTTCATCTTGTAATTTGCAATAACACAATTTGAGATTAAAAATTTATGTGTAATTTCGTATATCGTGTAATATAGACATTTGTTAAATTAAAAAATGTTTATTTCATAAATTTTAAATCCTTGATTCTACTCTTTTTCTGCTTATAATATGGACCTCAGTATGACCTCAGTATAAAGAAGAATGTTCAATGATTTTTACTTTTAATGTTAATTACTTAATATGTGTCGAACCTATGATGTGACTTCATGATTGATTTTTATCTTTGTTTATATTTTAATATTGTCTCTTTAAACGTTTTAATTATTAAAAACTTCATA